GGGAGATTTCTCGTCCCTCTGTTCCTCTGCCCCCCAGGAGCCAGACCGCGCATGAAGATGGCGTTTGCGTCGCGCTGCGTTGCGATGCCACAGAGCCTGTTTTTCGGCCAGGCAGCCGCCCGCAGCGCCCCAGGTCTCCCGACCCGGCGTTTCTTCTCCGCACGGCCTATGGCCCAGTGCCAGGCGTTCGACAGCCTGGCCGTGGACTGCGACGTGGACTTCGACTCCGAGGGCAGTTTGGACGCAAGTCCCACCAACGGGTCTCCCCCGGAGGCGGCCCCCCAGCCAGGTGAGGGGAGCCGGGCCTGGCCGTCGGAGCCAGACGTCACAGCCCTGGTCTGGCAGCGGAATGACTCCGAGGAAGGAAACTCCCAGGCACACGCTGGGAGAAGCTGGGATATGGGGTGGGAGTTGATATTGGGGGGCTAAAAGGAATGGGAGGGGTCATCTGGGCAGCAGGGAGGGAGGGGGAATCGGTCCCTGGTTTGGAACAGAAACGTGGCCGAGTCGTTGTCCCCGGCACAGACGCGGGTGGACGTTCCCAGCCAAACCGCCCTGGGCAGGGGGGCTGGCGCTTGGACGTTGGTCTGTGAATTCCGGGGCACAAATTCGTTGTGGGCACAATTTCGGGTCATAAACAAAGAAGCCTGAAATTTGGGAGTGAAGGCTCTCCTTAAAACCTGGATTGGGAGAGTTACGGTCGTGCAGATCACCTTAACTCTGCCCCGTGACCCTGGCTCATGCGGGGCTATGATGGTGTATGGACTGTTCCATCCCATCTCCCTCACTCTCTTAGAGGTGTCTCTTGCAGGTTGAAGTGGAGGACGGTCCGGAGGTCAGATTCTGTTTGAGAATCACCCTGGGATTATGAGTTCGGCTAGGATAGTCAGAGGGGTTGAAGACAGTTGGGTGCCTACCTCTAAATATTGTCTTCCCACGGGTGCAGGAAGAAGCAGAGCTAAGGGTGCCCATGGAGGGGTCAGTGGTGCAGAGAACCAGATAATAGATGCCCGTGAATGGGGCATTAAGGGCTCAGAGGAGGAGGTTAAGGATGCCCAGGAATGGGACAGTTAAGGATGCCCCTGGAGGGACAGAGTTAAGGATGCCCAGGAATGGGACAGTTAAGGGTGCCCAGGAATGGGACAGTTAAGGATGCCCACGGAGGGACAGAGTTAAGGACACACAGAGGGTCTCGGTTAAGGTCGATGGCTGTCCGTGTGATTTTAATCATGTCCCAGCCCCATCTCCCCGTCTCTCCTCAGAGCAAGCATCTCCCCTGCTGAGGCTGGTGTCCCTGCAGAACGCCGATGGCTCCTGGGACCTGGGGCCCCCGCTGGCCGCCGCGCTGGGAGTGAGCGAGACCGATGCCAGGGGGAGGAAGCCCAGTGAGGTGAGCGTGGGGGATGGGAGAGATGAGGGGGGCAGGGAGGTCTCCAGGCCCGCCCTGTCTCAGACTGTCTCTTCCCACCTCCCCCCGCAGGACATGGCCCCCGGCGTCTGGGCCACGGTGCTGGCCGTGGTCTGGCTGCACGGCCGGGCTGCAGGGCAGCGCGACGAGTGGGAGCTGCTGGAGGCCAAAGCTGTGGACTGGGTGCGGGACCAAGCAGGTGAGGAGTGGTTGGGGGTTGGGTCCCTCCTCTGCCCCTCAGCCCAGCCCCTTCTGAGATCCTCCCACCCCACGGGGCTCCACTGTCCAGCCCCCCAAGAGCCTGGAGAGTCTGTTCCCCATGGGACCAGGGCCCCCATCCCTGGGAGTTCCCCTGCCCAGACCCTACTAGACCCCTCCACTCAACCCCCCCCAGAGCCCTCAGTCCAGAACCGACAGTCTCCAGGTCCTCTGCTCCCTTCCCAAACCCATTTCCTTTCTGTGGTGTTTACCCCCCACCAGCCCTGCT